CATGCGTGCGTGTTATAGTTCGTTGCCGTTAACTGGCAATTATGCAGATTGAGAGCTTAGCCTTTCGAAATGGGCATCGATCGTGTCGACCATCCGTACGGTTATGCTGGCGCATCCAGTCAATACGCTTCCGTGAAACGGAGATAATCGTCCGTCGAATCGGGGTTGCGATTTCCTTTCCTCCCCGTCTCCTTCCCATCGTTTATCGGTGGCGAAATGTTTGGGAAACGTTTTCTGTTATTTGCACCACCGGGAACGAGCGTTCGTTACCAATCGAGGAAGATGGCGAATCGCGGTTCGTAGCTGGAACTCTTGACGAGACTCTCGCTTGGAACGCGAGCGTCAATTTCGAGAGATGAGAGCCCGCCAGGCTTTTCTCGCAGTCGGTGGTGTCGTGGCTGATCCTGGAGAACCGATAAGTACCAGCCCCGAGCGAATAGTAGATTTATTGCCAAGCTCGTCGGTTAACCTCTCGCTACTACCTTTCCTTTTCCGTTCTATGTTTTCTTGCTTCACTCCCATCCCTTCCTGATCTTCTCCTCATTTTCTTAGTATGGTTCTTGCCCTCGTCTTGTTCCGCGACCGAGAACGATTCGTACACCCCCTACTCCGCAACCCAGACGAAACTCAACTTCCGTTTTATTGGCGGAAATAATCTTTGATGTGATTGCGCTTTGCCTCGGAACTTTTTCATTCGAGTCCACGGGGGTGACCGTCCGATCGATTCGCGATACGAAGAGTCGATTGAACCTGAACACCGGCAGCCACTCTTCGTTCGTGTATTTACGATAACGTTTGTTTCTCTTTCCTGTCGTGGCTCGTTACATATTAATGCGGACTCGTATTAGCATAACGTCGAAGTATATCGACAAGGAAAACCGTAAGAACGATATAAAGCACCCGAGGAATCTCAGGAGAAAAAAAAATATGACAATGGTTTTTTTCCTCCGTGGAACGAAGAGTAATGCGTTTCAATTGTTCGATAAGACGCGTCATTAAGGAGCGTCCCGACGATGACGACGCGACCACCGAGCGTGCCACGTAGAAATATCACGACCTCATCTCGCCGCTTCAACCCCTTTCGGTCGCGGCAACAAAGCCGCGTTTCTCAAGGTATCAACGGCCCATCGCTGTCTTAATTTCCTTCGTAATCTGCGTTATTAATATAGCTTAGGGTCGCCGGCGCGTAATTTCACGCCGCATAGAAATTAATAGAAAGACGAATGCCGCCGCCGCGTGCTTCGTCGCCGAGCATTCAACCGGAATGGCGAATAAACTCGGTAACAGAAAGTTTTCGAAAATGTCAGAAGAGCGTACGATAGACGACGCGTTGAACGTAATTTACCATTTACGAATTTACAAGTACTCGTCGACATAATGCCGGCGATACGAGCTCGCCAGAGCGATATCAGACCGGTAATTACCAAAAAAATCACGCGCGTCCGTTCCCGATTCTCGAGTTCAGGCTCTCGCTCCGTTCGACGTCGATGGGACGCGTGACATGACGTAGAGCCCGTGAACATTTCCACGTCACCGTTCCGACGCACGGTCAGACAATGAGTCGCGATTCGAGACGCCGCGTTGTGTATTATCGAGTGGCATTCCGACGCGCCACCGGCACCGGAGCGACATTTAGATAGCGACGTCAACTGTCTGCAGGGGTAAATCTGTCTTGGAAGCAAAGGCAGCGCACTTCCCCCAAACGCGCCGACGACGAGCCCTCGCTACCGAAGCGAGCGAATTCACTTCTGATCGAATTAGCGCGTCACAGTTCCCTGATACCCCGACAGTCTGAATTAATTAACAGGAGAACGCGCTAGGTAAGCAGCCATTATCGAAATAAAGCATCACGGTATGAAACGTCGCGACGGCGGACAAGCTCTGCGACCAGATGATATTATTTAAATTCGTTTGTGTATAACCGTGAATTTGGTATAAAAATCGTATCGCCTATTCCTCGCCAATCCGAGATGCAATTTTATACTTAAGCGAAAGGCTGTTCGTTTCTGTGTTGCTTCGGATTTCAAGCCCCTATTTTCCGAAAAAATGTTCCTCGTCGGCAGAATGCCTAGAGTTATATCGAGCAAACGTCTCGGCACGGAGGAGCAACGTCTTGACTCCATTAACTTCACACTTAGCAGCACCTTAGAAACCCCCGTGCCGTCGGAAGATCTGATTAGGGGTTCGAGTCTCTACTAAACGCGTTAGTCTCCACTGTAGAACGTCGAAGGGGTGAGAGTACAGCTCCGTCAGGTGCTAGAACGGCAGCTCCGCGAGGAACCAGTGTGGTGTAGCGAAGGTAGGAGCGGTTGTTCCTCCATAGTTTGATGCAAATTGAGTAGGAGCACCACCAACTACCAAGAATATAGACGCTTTCTCTGGATCTTCTCTCTCTCTGTCTGGGTAGAGACTCGGTGATCGAGTAGAAAATTTATTCCTTGCGACCTTCTCGCCGTCGTTGCATCTCCTCCCTACCTCTGGTCTTGACTGCCACCGAAGTGTTGCCGTTTGGGGTTTCTCACCCTCCAGTCTCGTACTCTGTTTGCCAGCGAATCTCGGAGGCTTCCTCTCGACTTAGCAACAGTCAAAGTTACGCCACGGAAAACGGTTAACGGTTCGCGTTCTATCCTTGTCGATGGTACCATTCTCATCCCCGATATTCCTCAGCATCCAAAAATATTAACGAACCTGGGACTTCGTAAATCCTTAACTCGTCTCAATTATACCACGAGAGGATAATACCGCGAACCATATTCGAAGTTCACGTTAACGTCACTAATGTCTGAAGCGTTTAGCGCTACCTCGACGCAATCTACATCGCGTATCTAGTCGGAAAATCACAACACCATTATGCTGTGATCTTGTTGCTTCCTTCTCTTTCTCCGTCGCGTTTCTCCTCCCCCCCCCCCTCTCTCTCTCTCTCTCTTTCTCTAATGTTCCCTTTTTATGGCGCACGATTCGAGGCTGCCCCCGGGATCGATTTTACTTCGCACCATGGCACTTATCGTACCCCGTTACGGTGGAGCATTGCTTTTTATGGCGGTCCATGCTAGATGTTCCGATCGCTCTCCGCTTCTCTCGCTTCTATTTTCTTCTCCTTCCATTCACCGCTCCTGTCCGTTCCCTGGTACTCTCTCGCCCTTTCGAAATCGGAGAATTAAAAGAATGGAATGTCGAAGGGTGATCACCGACCGCGATGTCGGTTACGAACACGAACAGATGCCATCTCGATTCATTTTTGATGACGCTAAATCATCCACGCGATACGACTCGATCGTGGCACCGTCGTAACAACGCGTCGCATATTGGAAACCGATCGACCGTTTCTGACTGAACGCGAAACAAGAATAGGGGTGGCAAGAATACGTACGTCTCGTCGCGATGTTACGTAACGTTGTTTAGGGCAGCGCAGCTCGTTTCGAATGCTGCAAATGTCCTGCATAGCCGCGCAGGTGGGTAGACCGGTAGGTGTTGAAAAAAATCACGTCTGAATTTACATAAGCGCCGGTATAAACCACTCGGCAGAAATCCCGACATAAAACTCAAACAGGATCCCAGCACGGGACAGAGCATCCGTTGAATACGCAATGCCCGTATGTACCCGATGTACTGGCGGGGGGGGCCCCCCACCCTCCCCGAAAAAATGCTTTTATTATTCACCGACGAGTTACGATACCAAGATACACCCTCCGCGTTTACACCCACCCGAAGTTTACAAACCTCGGCGACGGATCGCCGACGTCTCGGAGAATTTAAATCGAGCTACAAGCAATTCGCAAATATGTAAACGATTCTGTCGTCCCCCCCCCCCTCCCTGTAATTACAAATTGCGGCAGTTTCCATGTACGGGAGACATAGAATACAATTTCTCGAGGAGCGATTCGTTAGGGTGTTACGGAATTAAAGAATAAGGAAGCAATCGGCTCTGGGCATTTTATCGTGGCGAGACAAATCGCGGGAACATGCTCGTTCCATCGCGGTCGATGCGAAGTATGTATAACACTCGGAGAGCGATGTTCACGGCACCTGACAAGAATTTCAAGGAGTCCGCGTAGCCTGACAAAACGATTTTCGAGTCCCCCGTTGGATCTATTGTGCTCGTTGGAAGCCAGCCACCCTTATGATCCTCGCCTCAGTGGCTCTTTAGCATTTTAGGCGTATCGTCCTTTATGCGGACATCCGAAGAGAACGCGCCCTGTTCGGCGCGCGCGGTTCGAGAAAAAATTGACTTTTAAGCCGGCAATAAAAAGGAAAAACGCGAAATCTTTGATTTTAGAGGCGGACGCCCGCGCATCCCTCGCGCCCATCGGGGGGCGACAGTTGGTCGATCCGTATAACCCTCGCGGCAACCTTATTTCTCTTATATCGCAAGCGAAGCACGTTCATACTTCGCCACCATTCCGAAATCTGCCGTATATGCCATGGCAGCGTATACCGCGTCGGATTATTAGAAAATCCTGTGGATTTCATACGTTGAATTTTAAAATGCATTGCGCCGACGCTTGAAACTCTCGCAACGATAACATTTGCACAGGTACGATGTTTTTCTACGTTTGAGTTAACGGCGAAACGTGAAAAATATTTGCGATAACGAAACGCGCGATTATTTTTTGCCCCGGGGGGGGTGGCGAAAGGCTTCGATTACGAATCAGAATTTTGCGCGCGAATCGGAAAGTGTTCGGGTGGAATAGGACTCGGCGGTAATCCAAGTACGATGTAGCGTCTGCGAATCGAGTGGAAATTTACATTTAAAGAACCTCCAAGACACTCTCGGAAGCGACGGCAACGGTAGCGTTTCGCTGCTTGTTTTTATTTTCTCGCAATTTCCTCGGCGGGGGTGGAACGGAAAGCGGCCTTAAAAGGAATTAGCACGCTTTACTACTCCGCCTACCTCGACAACCCTTAGACGGAGTTTCTCCGAATCCTTGCCAGTTTCTGGTTTTATCGATCATAATAATCGCGGCAATAATTGTAACAATTTTTCTTGACTTTCTTTGCAGATTCTGCATCGGAGACAGATATTATTTGTACGAAAATAAAATACTATGCGAGTACGATTACGAGGAGAGGCTGGTTTTTGCAAACATGGCGGTGCATCCGCCTCCAACCGCGACCCTGGCACAGATTAAGAGGCAAGTGACGCACCTTCAACCACAGGTAATTCAAAATTTATTTATTCCTTTTATCGATCAAAAGAGTAAATACTCGAAGATGAACGCCTTATTTTTTCTCTAGAAATATACACCCGTACCCGGCGAAAATTCAAAGCAGATTTTCTCGAAAACGAAGCCTTGTATGAAAAATTTTTATTCTATATTTTCGACTTGTTTTTTCATGTAGAATCGCCCCCTTTTCGCTTGTACCGCCAGTTATCGAACAACCTGTATAATTAATATATGGAGAAACCGTCGCATAATTTGATCGCCGATGACTTGTCTGGCGACGTACGAGCAATTCTATACATACAATGGCGGTTGACATCCTTTGACAGTGATATCGCTACAAACGCGGTCATCGATAACGCGCCTCATCGCAAATCCGCATGCTGGCCATACAAGCGTATCGCTTCCACGCGTACCATTGCCCAGACCGCTTTGAATCTTGGAAGATTACGATCATCGGATGTTCCGGAAGGTTCAAAACTCCTCAAGACGTAACCCCTTAAGGTGGGTTAAAGTGGCAGGTCGCTCATCCTGACCCTCTCGACAACAAAGGACTCCCTCGAGGCTTCAGCTATGCTTTACCACCCTGCCATCGTCTTACGAGTTAGGATATCGCGTGTCCTTATTAATTAAGCTCGCCCGTTAAGCAAGCCTCATCGCATACCGTAACGATCCATCCTCTCGAGCGGCGCCGGAGCGTGCGAAAGAATTTACTCTTTGAACAAGGATTCGCCGGTGTCTTAAGTGGAATTACGGACTGAAATTTGCGCAAGCGACGAACCTGCTCCATCGACGCGGAAAATATTTTCGGACCGGGAGCAAAATATAAGGGAGCGAGTTAAATTTATCGTTTGACGATTAATAATCGAGTTGGTACCATTAACGAACGTACGCGACGGTTATATCCGAATATCAGATGTAGGAAAAAGGCATTCGTCGACGGATTCGATCGCTCGAGGGAAGCTCGAATGAAGAGCATTTAAAAGTCAAATTTGATAAATGCTCGATAATTCTGAAATTCTTGGCTGATGCACTTCTAACGAAAAATTGGAAAGGAATATCGCATAGCGTTGTTCGGAAAGTTCCACGATAGCTACGAGCAGAAAGGAGCCCTTTACGAGTCGGAATTATGAACTCGTCGCGTTAATCCGTTTGGGTTTCTTGATTATCTTAAAGCAACAGCCGTGCTTCGAAACAATATCTTAAGCTCCGCTGTACGGAGGACCTCGTCGTGTCTGACCCAAGGAGGATCCGATCTACTTAATCCAGCTTCGTCTTGCTCGGATGTTTACGTCCTCTAACCTGCTTACGTCACGTACCGTAATTTACCAAGTGCAATATTTACCGATCGACGGCCACCTATCGATAAACATCGGCAAATTAAACATTCCTCGATCCAGAGATTTCTTCGTCCGCTAACGTCTGCACTTTCCTCCGCCAATCGTTTCTGTTTAAACAGTTCCCGTTTATCGGCCGATCGGCTTAAGCTAGTTTCAAGACAAACTTTTAAGACTGGTCGAAGACCCTAGATTGCCGGCGCACACGCTCGAATTGTACGCATGCACAGAATAACGAGGTCCCCGAGTCTGATGATATCAGACTCGGCAGCGTGTACTACTTATAATATGCAAATTTCCACCCCTTGGTCGGCCTGCCAGCGAACTGCGTGTAATTCAGGGGTTGCTAACCCTTGCGACTCTATTTCTCCACCACGTAAGCGTTCATGCTCTTGCGCGCCGGGCTCCTGCGTGCGACTTTGCTTCCTTGTGCGTGGGCGCGTTCCGTATTCGGTTCAATTAAAATCAGTTCGCGCGGACGAAGAATCGTACGCATGTATCCATACATTTTTCTCCTTACTCCTACGAATGCAAACGTAGAAACCGAGGTTACGAAGTCATTAGGCGTGGCTCCCAAAGAATAATTCACAATTTCTCGATTTTTGCCGGTTCATTCTTTATCATTCCGTGAATAGAGAGCCATTCATGGTATATCGATTTCACCGGAGGGTTTACGGCTGCGAGGGTTATAAATGACCGATGCGCGAAATAACGGGACGGTAGACTAATGCCAATAATCGGCGTGCCATGCTAATGTCGTTCGCGCATCTATTACGTTAAGCCTGATGGATCCCTCTCGACATGTCGTTGGTGGAGCGTGAATACCTTCGATCGCGGAGAATACTCAAAGGTGTCTGTCGACCCAGCATCGAGGGCCGTTCTATTTCCTCGGTGAATGTCGGTGTGACATTTAGCATCTGAATGGAAAAGACGATCGTCGGGACAGCTGGTCTCCGGTGCGAGTTTGACGCGGTAGATAATGTCAGATCACGAGTCGTCTCTCGTTAATTGTCAGGGACGAACGTGAAACTCTGTCATGTTCGGAGTCGTGTCTGTTCGGAGGGGGCGGATGTTCTATCCGTTATAGCTTCCCCTATCAATGGAAACGTTGCTTCTGTTGTTCAACCATCCGTGAACGGTATCGCCGAAAACGTTTCATTCGAGTCGGATAAAAAGATCGCGAGAAACGGATTAGTCCAAGACGGCGATCAACGGGAGTTCCCAAGGAACGGATACCGGACCGGTGAAATACCGGGCTGTTGGAATTAGACATCGCGGCGAAATGCAAAGTGTCGGAGGTGCTGTTTCGGCCTGACGAAATCAAGAGGGAAGAACGAGAAGGGCGTTAAGATTCTTAAAAACCGCGAAGAGGGTTCTCGTCCCGGTCGAGGCAGCTGCCGCCCTGACGCTTTTCTTAAGCCGTGGCTATGGGAATGGCGAAGTTGCCTCGAGCGGAGAAGGAGAGCGGTAGTTTTTCTGATTGCCTGAGAACAGACAGCTGTCCCAATCTTTCTCGGCTATAGTACCCGAGCTCCGTAGGATCTCTCGTTCGGCTCTTGTAAATAACGCCCTGCCGTGGCGTGTGGCGTTTACGAATAACTCGAGCGTGCGAGGCGATCCAAGGTAAACAGGTAATGGGGAGTGAAAAAGGAAAATGGAAGAAAATACGACGGTCATGTCCCTCGATAAATTCAATTACCATCGACGCATCGTTCAGGCAACCGTTCTAGGTTTACCCATGACTGCTACCGTTGGAAGAGATCGTTGAAAACAGGTTCTCAGGCCATCCATCAAAAGTGTCACCCGGGTCTTTAGAAACGCTCGGAAAGACGTTCGAGGGCGGAAGTTCTAATCGATTCGAGATCGTTAGAATCGTTTTTATCGCGTCGCGACAAACTTCGTTTCAGCGACGTAATCTCCCCTCTCAACGGAGGCAACTGTAACGCGTTTAAAAATTCGCGAGAAGTCTTATTTTGATCTAATTTTCCCCTTGGGACCCGCTGGAGAGAGCGAAACGCGGCGCGAGAATGGAAGAGAGATAGAGAGAGCACGAGAGAACGAGAGCAGGGTGTGACGAAGAGGGGGGAACAGAGGAAGGGAGTTCGAAACGATTATCTGAGTTTTAAAACAAACTCTCAAGTGTCTGCAAAGTCCCCCGCGAATCAGAGGGTTGAAGGGGGTAGAACTAGGGAACGAGGAAGCAGCGTGCCTGAGAAGGAGGTTGCGGGGGGAGATAATATGCTAATGCCAAGACGGAGACTACATGGGAATTTAAGAGGATCAATGTGCAGTACGAGATTCGTACGGGGAATAAGGTATTACAACGTCTTCTATACTTCTTCCAGGCGATTAGACCCTCGAAAGTTCGTGAAACGTACACTGCCAGCCCGAATGAAATTAAACTTCTTGAATATGCGTCATGAAATACGATTCGGTAGACAAATTTACGGAAAAGATCGCTCGAACGGAGAAGAAGTAGAGTCACTCGAAGCACGGTACGAGAATTTTGCTGGAAATATCGGCGTTTGCGTCGTGGTTGTTAATGACGTGTAGCCCCTTACATTCGGAGAAAATTCGCATGGGAAAGCCCAGCTTGCAAGCTTATGCGAGATTATGAGTTTAGTTGCGAAACAACGAAACGCTATGCGTCTCTGGCTCTCTTTTGTAACGATTATTACTCCTGCTGCGTGGTTCCATTCCTAGGTGCACTTGTGCGCGACAGAAAGGCCGCTGGCGTCGAGTTTAATTGACCGACGGAATCGCGTATAATTTCGCTTTTGCGAAACTCGGGGAAAAGTCGCTAAACTAGTTCGGACGAACGTATAATTTTGAAGAGTATTTTTACTATACTGACTGGAATTTGTGTTCATTGTCATTCGATGAGTGGTTACAGTGGAGCTCATGGAATATCCAAATGATGGAGAACGTTTGCACAAATCCTTGGCGATTTAATGATCTCTGATAAAATGGCCTGCGGCATTCGGTTCTAAATGACCCTCGTCCGATAAACGACCTGCCTAATTCTCATCTCGTGCCTCCAGCCGTGGATAAACGGCAAGAATGGTGGTTCGGGGGCGGTGAATAGCGTAGAGGGAGGCGCTAATTTTTCCGCGTAAGAAAAGCAGCACCGTGGATGAACTAACTCGCACCTGGCCGGTTCCCAGCCGCAGGAGATCAACGGACAAATGACACGCGATTCTCGCCAGCTCCCGGCAACCCTGGATGGTCCGCATTTACCGTCAGTTACAAACTGCCTTCACCGTCTCGTCGAGCCACGATTAATGTCTTATTCGCGGTCGGGGGGCTCGCGTGAAGGTCCGTTTACACTGCTGCACCGATGTACGCGGAAGACACTCGATGCACTACGAATAAAAAGATCGTTTGTACGAAATGTGAACAGTGGTGTACTGGTCTCGTTCGATACGAAACGAATATCTCTAGAATCAAGAGATTCGGACGATACCGGATCGGTAGGGCTTGGTCATCTCGGGAACGTCAACAGTCGCTGTATATCGACGTTTCGCGTCTATGTATTTCATTGCGCGTGTCATTTGATTACAAAGACGGCAGTAAATCCACTGGAAGGTAATTCCTTCCCTGGCAATTGTAGATAAAACTTGAATAAGTCATAGACTTAATTTAACCCGTGGTAGCGACCAAACGGTGGTTCGGAGCCTTCCACGGAGATTTCTTAATTACGTGCAGGGTCCTGCCTGGGAAGAAGGGAAGAAACAAAGAGAGGTAGGCGAGGAGCGAAAGAGATAAAGTGGAACGGCGTTGTATCAGGGAGAGAAAGAAAAGGACGGTGGTCCTCGTTGGTATACGGAGACTGAAAAGGGTTCTCGTAGAGGCAAGAAGATTTAGAAATTCTTGCTGGAGAGAAAGTCCTCCCTTGCCGTGGTGATAAAGCATTTCTTTAGCGGCGCTTTGTCATTTTTATCGTAATTATTTACGAGTTAATTACTGGTCCCGCCACTCCGTGAATCCTGCCCCGTCGCTTATTATTTCAGACTTTCAAACGAGACGGTACATATTTTTCAAGCGTCTTTCGAGCGCATCGCATTTAGAGGCCCTATCGAAGAAACGTTTCTTTGTACTTTCTGGTAACGCGACAACGAATAACTCGCTCGTATTGTTCGCGCGAAAGTTTGGCGATGCGGGGGAAATCATGAAAATGGGAGGTTCGTTCGTTGCACGAAAGTTAGCACGATCAACTTACGGGGTAAAATCATGGTAAGGAAGGATCTCGTCGAGAGGGGCTGAGCCGCACGGTCTGTCGAATTTTAAGCCTGTATAATTTAACACCTTTACCGGAGAAACTAAGAGAAACTGATGGCGAAGGGAACAGCGGGGCTAGAGATACGAAGTTTGAAGTTTTCAACGGCACTTACCTATCCTAGCGTCATCTCGTACTCCCCGCGGTACCCTCTGCCGTTCCCGCGAGCCCTCTCTCCGTTAAGAATGCCTTAGGTAGACGGAGACAACTAAAGGCTAAGACAAACGGTGAAGAGAAAGAAGGAAGACCAAAGAGAGGATATCGAAAGGGAAAAGATAGGAGAGGCGGGAGTCTACGCTCAAGTTGAGTTGCTCGGGCTGAGTTGAGATACAAGTTCGTTCTTCTGGCCTTTTGTTTTTGGAGTAGAACCGTAGACGAGGGGGTGGTACCGGAACGAGAACACCGCATCTAAAACGAATTCGTTAGCGGCATCAACCCCTTTCGCTGCAAGAACGTTTCCCTCTTCCGAGTTTTAAGTCTCTGTCGTGAATAATTGTTCGAATCGGATTAAGACGCTGCCCGGTCGATTGATTGCGGATGTAATTACGAGACTGCGAGTTTCTTCCCAATCTTTTCGGTCCCGCAGATTTACAGACGATTAAAACCAGCGTCGAAATTGGTCGCTCGCGAATACTCGGTAACTAATTCGATAACCGCACGTTTCGCGATATTACTCCGTTCTATTTGTCGCGTTAACGATCGGCGTTATTTTAAACAAGTTATAATTTCACGATCTTTCTGAATTTCAGACGATATCCACGGGAAGTCCGCAGAGGCACGCAAACGGAGAGACAACCCATAACCACAATGGATATCCCTCGCCAGCGAGCTCGAGCGCCCATAACATCCTGAACCCCATGAATAATTTAAACGGCATCAATGCACAAACACCTTACGATACCAAATGACAAACGAAGTAAACGCCATCGTATCGATCGAATCGCGAAAGCGTGGCCAAATTTGTTCAACGACACGGACGTCTCTTCTATCAACGTTGTCTGTATCGTAGTATACACGTTCCGAAGGTTCGCTCGTTACTGGAATCTCAGTAAGTCTGCTTTTACGGTTGAGACTACTCGCTTAAAGATAACAACAAGGACACCATTTTAACGACGAAAATTTTCGACGCGTAAGATCCTCTCATTGACATTTATTAGACGTTAAACGCTTATCGCGTCGCAATGTTCATGTCGTTAAATCGCCAGTTCGACGGTTCACCCGCGCTCGATTTTGACTGTCTCTGTGCGAGAGTCTCGATGCTGTTCGAATCGAGCGCGCGAAACGATTGGTGCTGTTTAGATGGAATTTGATCACTCGAATTTCTCAAGTTGAAGTAGACTCTAAAAATCGTCGGAGACGGAGTGAATAGAACGAGAGAGAACGAGACAACGGCCGGCGGCAGGGTAAGGTTAGAGCTCACAGGGAAACAATGCGGGTGAACCGAATGCTCAGGGGTGATCAAAGTTTGGCTGTTCTTGTAGTCGACTTTGCTGTCCGTTGCGGGCAACGCCGGTAAATCTAGCTTTACCGGACTACCGGACTACCGGACCAACGGAGTACCGGAGATAGAACTCGAGGAATGGCCACGGGGTGAAATTGGTGAGCGAGGTCGGCTTGGCAGATCGAATCGGTAGCTGACTTCGCCATCCAGCCAGCCTGCCTCACCACCCCTTGGGGCTCATACGTTAGGGGTGACTTAAGCATTGTTTCAACTTCGAATCTCCCGGTAGAGGCCCAGATTGATGTCGCGAACTTTTCCGTTGCCTTATTTGCGAGTCAGATAACGAGGCTGAGTTATGCCAAAAGTTCTCTCTTTCTCTCGGATTGGCCGGGCGCTATCAGAAACGAGCAGCGTCTCGGAGAAAATGTTTTATTTCCGTTGTGCCATACGCTTCGAAGATTTGTCGGTGGCACCCCTCCGGAAACTGGTTCGCCATCTTTCGAACGATAATAGGCTTACGTAATTTTTGTCCATCGAATTCCCACTCTAAACCCGTTCGGTCGGCGATCTCTCGGAATACCGGAAATAAATGTCTGGGACGTTCAGAATCGGAGTAAGGGATGTTTGCTGGGAAACCTGAGAAACTATAGAGAAAACTGAAAATTATCGTTTCTTTGAATATTTGAAAGAGCGAGGTCTGTGGCTACGATCCTTATCAACCCTTCCTCCCTTAATCCGTGTCAGAGTAGATTCGAATTACGATTATCAAGCATCACTCAACATCGACACTTTTCTAAAAAGGTTGCTCTGCGAGTGAGCCTGCGATCGTTGTCCAACTCCATCGCCGTGTTTTTCTATCGAAACGTGCAAACATTTCCTTTGTAATTTATAGATGTAACGAATACTTCCACGATACGCGCGTAGTTCCTAATACTAAGCGTCTCGAAGATGAACATGTAACTATCAACAATGAGGATGAAGAAGAGAATGAATTTATATCGTGTCGCACGACTACTATCCGATTGTCTAACCAAATAACTCGCATAGATTACGATTAGTAGCGGCCGTGGTTGGCGACAGCCTTCCATTGACGAACGGATTGCAATATAATCAAGCCGCCTATCTAATGGAAAAACCGAATCCGTCTCGTCTCGAATGCCGAACGCAATGTACGCGATGCATGTAAAAAAAAAAAAAGCTCTGAACGAGAATACGTAAGGAAATGTGTTACGTTCGCTAGTATAGATATGTTTTGTATCATAGTTCTATCATAGAAAAATTAATGGAAATAAAATTACTGTTTCGATGTTACACGACGTGTCGTTCCTTGCCTACGCTCCGGACGGAGAAGGGTGAAAATTGCTAAAGCCTCGTACCGATTTCGATACGCGGCATTGCGAGTTTAAAGTCAACGCTGCGTAATACCTTCGCATCCCTGCACCGACGCAAGACCTTCCCCCGTTTCTCGCATCCTTCGCGCTTCCTCTGAATTATTTAAGACCGCTACGTGATTGGCCGACAAATCCGGACTGCCTCAATAATTTACCAATCATACGCGGTCCTTTGTGTTTTATACGCCACGTTTCGAATAAATCGCATTGCGTATTCAGGAGAGCGAGATCCGACTCTATTCGGGTGTGAACGCGAACCCTCTCCGTGTTCGAGAACAAAAACGCGGATAACGGAAAGATGCGAGTTCTAGGACAGGGAATCGAAAAGGGAGTGATTCCTACGGTTCGGAAATATCTGACGACAACGCAAAGTAAGTCAAAATTCACTCTCTTATTATACAGGGTGTCTCAATCTAATTCGTCTGGAAAAGTTCTATCGCATGGTATAAAAAAAAAATATATAGTTCCATTTGGATCGTATACTTGCGATAGACCGTGTGGAGGGATGGGGGTAAATTGGGGTGAGAAACGACTGGTGGAAGGAGCGAGGATTCGATGTAAATTGGCAATTTTTCTCGTGCAGCCCACGATAATCATTGGCAATTAGACCACCGAGCCTCCGATAAATGTTATTTACGACCGCGATTATCCGCGGCGCACCTAGCTGCTCGAAGGTTCGTCCAACTATGGAACCCTCATCGGGCGTCTAATTGGTCAACGATTATTCCTGTTTGTACAAAATGTCGGTACAAGCGCCACTTTACCTCGCCGCATATACGAGCGAAAGTTTCTACCGAGCCGCGTCGACTGCTTTAATGCGCGCGGATCACGTATACCTTTCGACAACAGCAACGGACAGAATTTCATCGCCTCGTTAATTCGCGACTGATTGATTGCTCCTGTACGTGACAAGAAGCAACACTGTAATATCCCAACAAACATCCGTTGGAACAGGTTCAGGACAATTAAAAGGACCGAATCGTTTCATCGCTCGATAAACCCGCCTTGATTAACTCTCCACTCTTCGGTTTAATCGAACGTATCCCCGATTCGAAATAATTCAGAGAAGGATATTTTCCTCGGTCCATTGGCGAGCCCGAATCGTTCCTCTACGTATATTTTTTCACGATAAAAGTTGATGAGCGCGCGGCCACGCAAGAATGACTGAAAACCGTATTCCATCCGCTGTACGTGATTAAAAGAGAAGACCGAACGCATCGCGCTCCTCGCGGTCCTTGAAACAATATTATTATTAAAAGCTGTGCGCGGCCCGGTGATCCACGTGAGTCCACGGAATGGCGAAAAGAGAGGACAGGGCTCGCGGTACGGGGGAGCGGGCACCACGGGGCGAGTGGAAAGAGGGATCTGGCGACGGAAGAGCGATTAATTAAAAGAGCAAAAACTGTTTTCATAAAATTCATTTGCGGAAATATGCGCCAACTGAAATAATATCCGGCCGATGAGCGCGCGTGTCCCAACCCGTCGCCAGTGCGGCGTTCACGGGGACGCGGTGCTCGAGTGAAAAAGCGACGCGAATAAAAATGGAGGCTGGACGAAATGCGAAAGTTTTCGCATTTTTTTACGTTCGTCCACCGGACCGTGTATACGTTATATCGCGCGGCCGTGTGTGGGTGCGTTTATTCTCTTGACCCGCCATCGTAAGCGTATCGTGCATGCACCGGTTACAAAGCAACCAATCTTCCCTGTCTTTTGCTTCTTTTCTCTGTCCCTTTTCCCAACCCGACGACTCCCGCTCCCGCCGTTGCCCCTCTCCTTTTCTTTTGTTTGCTACAATTTCCCCCGTTCTCCCTTTCATTCAATCTCGCAGCCGTTCAGTCATAAAAATATTTCTACGCCTTCCCGGATATTTTTTCCTTCCGTTGCCGTAGCTCGTACGCGCTTTTCGCCACCCCATTATTCCGCGCGACTAACAGCGACGCGAAGTGTGATTTAAACGCGCGTAAAAATGGTCGTTAAAAGGCAAGAAAGCTCCTTAGCGCTCGCTTTGATTGGCCAACTCGGTTTATTAAAACGCCCTGGGCGATATTACATATTTTTCTTCTCGCTCGAGCACGGCCACTTCAGTGCCACTCCGGACCGCCTGCTTCCTACGTCGGTCCCCGTTCTTTCGTTCCCTTTGTCAAAGTATAAGGCTAGCTGCTCAAATAACCATTTTCTCTTTCTCAGTTTCTTTTCTTGCCCCCTCCCCTCCGCTCCGGCCACCTTCCGGCAGTGTTTTACAGCACCTCGAAGAAGTTTCCTTCCAAGCACCGTGCAACGACCGTCTTACCTCAGCCCTTCCGAACGATACCTGCTACTTTAAGAGCGACAAGTGAAAAAAGTGCGACAGTTACAGCAACTCGAGACACGGAAAGGAAACCGAAATTACAAACATTCCGCTGACACGTTGCGATTAAACGCATACGAATAATCGGGACGACCAAAACGTTCTAATCGCCGAGAAACGCTCCCCTAACCGCATAGGCAGCCAGACTCTCTTTTGTAATATTAATTAATAAGGCAACTTCCGCGGAGCGAGATACTTGCTGCTAATTAAGAAATACCTACCGAGCGCTCTTTTCCAGAACAGGGGCGAGAAGGCAGAAAAATAAGAGGTAGAAATTCCATGCTGCTCTGGCGCCTTTGGAACGAGGTAAACTTAATCCTCTGCCAAGTTAAACCAACTGCTAAGCTTCTCATTATGGCAAAACGAGCACGCGGGGAAGATGCGCGTCGAGGAGCGGTGTCCTTTTTTGACGGATACCGGGACGATAATGTTTAATCTTCGCTTTCGGGTACACGGATTACCTCGCGAAAATTCTTTAAAATCCCGTAAGTTTCGCCGTATCGGAATTCGCGAGTTCAACGTTCCTTATGAAACGTGCATTTGTATACTCTTATCTCCGTTTCGCTCCAAAGACAGGATATTTCCCAAAGGCGTCATTCACGACGAAAAAAAGAAGAAAGAGAGAAGAGGCGAACGACGAAGAAGAAAACTCCGGCAACTTCGAATTCAAGCGACGCGAAAGGCGACGAAAAGTTTTACGAGCGCGACAGCCGTACTGGCTGGCTGGCTGACTGGCTGGTTTGAATTGCATCAATTAAAAAAAGCCGTTCCACAAAAATTCCATAACGCGACGCGAGTGGAGGGCTGCGTCAAATGTCCCTCCACATTCGCCGCTTTCCATTCCTACCGGGCAGTAAAACCTTTTCATTCTTTCGCGCCTCTTTTTCGTCGCATCACGAATAACGATCACCTCCCACGATTTAATTTGCCAATTCGCTTCTCGAAATCCTTCTATAAATATTGACGTTGTCGATTTGTTTACGGTACGAGTCAAATTAGAATCTTTTGGTTGCCCTTGGTTGGGCCTCACGATAAGAAAAGCTGAGGATGTGTAATAATTAGGTGTAATAATCGCGACAACGCGTAGCTACGTTTATCGGTGCTTCGATCGTTGCGATATTTCCAGAAATACATGCCACTTCGTAAGAGGAACCGAGAAGAATAAGATTCTACCGAGAAGAACGCAACAATAGTAGGTACACTTATAAAGGTAGGCTTGTATAACCGGCAGTGAAAGTATGCGAACCATGTTCTCATAATACTTTGTCCGGTGGAGGAGAATATATGAAAATGTATTCGAGGAGGGTCGAGGAGGGCGGAGGTGAGATCGAGGGACAGAAACAGAACTTTTAAACTTCGTGCAGCGTAAAGGAAAATTAATTTTCGAAATGGTCAGTTGCGCGTAAACGCGCCCGAAGGTTTCGGCTCCCATCTCGTTCTCTCTTTGAACGTGCTCGTAGCGATATTCGAAATATTTCAATTTCTCTCTATGGTGGACACTACGGCAGCGAGAGGAGAACGCCGAAGAAGTATCGAACGACGTGTCGTAATTTAGTTTAAGAAATACAACAAATTCAAGGGCGTTCTATCGTTTTGTCGTGGAGTGTATACGCATCGAGTTTAAGAAGTGCTTCTTAAACGTTTCTTACCGTTTCGTATCGACTATCGACTAACCTCTGACCGAGGAAGTTCAAAGGTTTCGACCTCCGCGTCTCGAAACCTTTGAAAAATCACGCCGTGAAAGAACACGCTACCTACTCCATTGGGACCGTATTTATTCAATTGCGTTACGTAACTTTATTTAAGCGACACCGTTCGGATATTTTTTCTATTCCCTCGTAATAATTTGCGAGCGTCGAAGAAGATTCGTAATTCTCGTTCACTTTTGTTTACCATTATTGGCCCGAAGACGAAAGAACAACTAGGCTCAGATGTGAATAGATCGTTCCGCGTTAGAATGGAGGTACCATTCCGCTTCGAGTGGTAATCGGCAACGATTTTTCCCCGAAAAGGTACCGGGAAGTGGACGATTCTTCGGCGAGTTCCCGAATGAATCGAGCAATCTTGAGATCCTTTGTTTTCGAGATCTGCCACTTGTAAATATAATTACCCAGGCTCCTCTCGGTCGTCCTCCAACCCCACTCTCGCGACTCCTTCCTCGTGCTTCCACCTGGCCCATCCCACCGTCTCTAATTTGATTCTGCGGTTGTTTTCACCCACCTTCGCCGCCTCCTCTCCTCTGTTCTGGGCTTCGCCCACGCATTGTCTCTTGTCTCTTCATTCAAATTACTCTCCGCTTTCCCATTCTCGCGCCGCTACAACCACCCCATTTCTCCTCCTCCTCCCTGCCAGACCCCGCCGTTTTCACCCTTATTGTTACGGTTTTATTGAATCCGCCGTGCATTGTCTGCGCGCGAGCGAGACGCGGCTGTTGTTCAAAGAAAATTGGCGCGTAGTTCGAAATACACGAATACATCCCGTCTTTCAGCGGGGAGTTCTCTCTCTTTCCGCGGCCCGATGAGAATCGAGTTTCACGGGTGCGTAAGTACTGTCAAAAGGTACGCCGCACCGGT